CAAGGCGGAGCCAGAGGCTGCGGCCAGAAGCCCTCCTGCGTTCACATGAGAAGGCCCAGGCGCTTCCGGCTGATGGACACCCAGAGAGTGCACGGCCTCCTCGCTCCTGCGCCGCTCCTGCTGCTTCTTTCTGGACATCACAGAGTCCCAGTTCACCACTACAAGTTGTTGGAGGCGTTCTGTTTTTCCAACTTGCTGTTCTTCTTGCTTCTCTCCAGAGCCCACTGCATTGTCACATTGTCTAACGCCATAAAAATGATGAAACCTTTCCGGAGTGATTTTACTTGTGCTCTTCTAGCAATGTAGAACTGAAGAGCTGCTGTCATTTTAACACGTTCCCATGCCTCGTAATAATCATCGACTTACTAGCCAAATCCCGGAAGCCTGTTCAGCGCTGTTATGGAAGCCAGATTTTACCCAGCTGAACACCACCTTTTTATTTTCCCTACATGAGCTGCTTTATGAGATTTCCTTTTGCAGACTTCAGCCTATGCCCCTCATTCATCAAGCTCAAAGTGCCTTTTCAGAGCATCGCATGCCTTTGCAGCTCCTCCCCGATGTTCGTCCTCTGCAGTCTCATCCCATTACAGCCTTCCATGTTGGCTTCCCAGGGCCTCAAATGCAGCAGGGAAGAGAGGCAGAGCCTCTGCCGGAAGCCACCACCAGCTGGCCCCAGGCAGAAGCCCACGTGGAGGGCAGCCTCCAGGGTCGCTGCCTGGTGAGCTGTGGCCAGGGTCTTTGCAGGACACTCTGAGGCCTGGGGCGTGGCTGTGCCTGCCTGGCAGCCCAGACCCCTCAGTGGCTGGAGTTTGAGCTCCGAGCCCAGGGGTTGCATTAACCAAGTATTCCCTGTACAAGCAGACTTGGTCCTATGCTGTCCCCTGGGTCCACTCTGTGAGGATAACCCTGGACCATGAGACTTTAACCCACAACGGCACCCCACTCGGCAGTGGGCTGAGGCAGGCAGCTGGCAGCCAGGTCGCCCCTCTTCCCTCTGGGTTGTGATTAATTCATTGATCCATTGATTGATTAATCTCTTTGGGTATTTAAGAGATGATCACTGCTAGTCCACCTGCAGCCTCCCCGTGCTCGGGTCTGGCAGAGCCCAGTGAATAGACTCCTGCATGCAGCACTCCCGCAGTGCCCGCACAGGCCCAGGCCACCTTCCACCTGGGGCTGGTCGCCTCCCGAACAGCAAGGCGAGGACCCTGAGAGCCAAGCACTGGGTTTGGAAGAGCCACTGTGCTGGGAGCTAAAAGTCTCCAGGGGCAGAGGACACCGGGCCTGAAGTCCTGCCAGAACAGAAGACTGGAAGCAGCTGGAGACAAACCAGAGCACTCACCCAGTGTGTCCACGCCGGGCGTGGCAGTCATCCAGGCTGAGTGCACAGGGAGAGGAGCGGCTCAGATGGCAGTCAGGGCCTGCCCAGCTTCCTGTGGGAGGTCAAGGGCATGGAGCCCTGTTCCTGCAGTGCTGGGGGCAGAACGCTCTCTGCTGCATGAGCAGCAAGCCCGTGGAACTCTCCCCCGTGCCACACAGGGAGGATGCTGGCATGAAGCACGCCCTGTACCCCAAGACTGACGGGATGGGAAGAGGCAGCCATATGCTCCCAACCTCTGGGCAGTGCAGCAGGGTGGGTATCCCCTGGGTGAGGGGCCACAGACCCAGGCAAAGGCACAGTCCAAATGGCAAATGGGTGGTGTGGGGAGGACTCAAGGGGGCACGGCTTCCTCTGCAGGTGGCAGCGGGGGTCACTGCTGACCTCCCCAGCCGGGAGCACCACTTGTGCTGCCAGAAGTTGGCAAAAGACCCGGAAGACCGCAGGTCCCAGAGGCTCTCCCCACCTCCTGCACCTGCCTTATGCCAAGAGAGTGAGGAGAGCCCAGACTGATGGAGACCACCCTCATTGGAATAGGAAAAGTCACAGAAGTGACAGCATTTAGTTTAGCTGCAAGTAGGAGAATGGGTTCCTACAGCAAAAAGAATCTCACGCTAGAGATTAAGTTCTTGTAGAGAATTCAAGACAATCACCCCCCCCCCTTTCTGTCCACAAAACCTTGCCTGTTACCTGGAGGAGAGAGGAACAGTCGCTGTCCTCAGGCGCCCACAGATGAGCATGCGCTCTGTACACTTAGTATCATAGCACAGTGATCAGTCTCAGTCCTGAGCTTCGCGCAGCGGAGCTACCCCGGCCACCGAGGGCACTGTCCCCAAGGGAGCAGCCGCTCATGGTGATTGATCACTCACATTCACTAAGGCAACCGCTTGTCATGTTGACGAACGTCAATCACTAATAACAAAACAGTGGGGGGAGTAACTAGTACTCGAAGTGACTCTCCTGCACCTGCCTTACGCCAACCCCTTGTCCATATCACGTCATAAGGCAAAGTTGAGAACAGATGCCAAGGAAGGAGACCAGGCTGGCGGAGAGCCTCCTGGTGCCCCACTCCTGTTCTTGGTGCCCCACTCCTGTCTGTGACACTTCACGCCCTGCAAGGCTATTCTGGAGCGGCTCTGCCCATGGCTCTGGCCCGGGTACTCCGTGGAGTCTGAACCTCAGAGAGCCGGGAAGGGACCCTCACAGCCGGCAGGTTGTCCCAGCGCGCCTAGAAGTGGCGCATGCACATGTGGGCTGGGCTCGTGGAGCACCAGCGCCACCCATGCAGAAATGGCCCTGCGCGGCAGAGGCCACGCCCTCCTGGGGGAAGCCCTCCCCAGCCTGTCCCACGGCAATGCCATCTCTTTCATAGCAGACTCTGGACGGGTACAGAGCTGTCTGGCTGACCACCAACCAGCCAGCCCCCAAGGGGCGGCGCTAGGACCAGAGCCTCACACCGTCCGCCACAGACCTTATGCCGAACAGCTGCGCAGGCTGCACGGCCCGGGGCACCTCGGCTCCCCAAGTGGCCAAGTGTCTGCCCTGTGGAAGCAACAGGAGAGAGAAGGAAGGGAGACAAGAAGGGGAGCCCCTGGGAAAAGGTAAAGAGGAGTGGGAAGGAGCTAAGAGAACCAGGTCCCCAATAAGTTATAATCAAAGAGCCGTGGAGTCATGCGGCAGGAGACAGAAGCAGAGAAGGTGGAGAAGGCTGGGAGGAAGGTCGCGTCGCAGTTCCATGGGTGTCAGAAGTGCAGTCAGGGCCGTGGCAACGGGGGCGTCCTGCTCTCTGCCACCTCCAGCCAATCTCACCTGACAGCCCCCCCGCTACAACTCTTTCCCCAGCTTCCTTCCTGTGTCAGAAAGGTTTTCTTCCCAAAATTGTAAGCCGCCCAATAAAAGATGACACAATAATCGACATAAAACAGTCCACTTCACACAAATAATACTACAGAGCTCCTTCCTTAGAAATGTGCAGCCTCCAGCACTAGTATTATCAACAGTCATCTTCCTAATACTGTGCAAAGACGGGGCACGGGGTGGAACACGCCACTAGGCAAGTGAGCCATCCTGTCCGGGCACTGCGTGCATGGGAAGAAAACGCAAGAGGCAGCAGGCTGCAGCCCGCGCTGCCCTGGCCTCCGGGTCTCTCCCTCCTCCACACACGCCACACGCGCTGTCGTGAGCGTCCTCCTGAGCCTCGCAGCTCCCTGCATGCACACTTTTCGTTCTCATCTCACACAGTGCCCCTGGCTGCATATACTGCCCGTGGTGGAGGTTGGCTCATGGTCCTTGAGGCTGAGGAGCCTGGTGTCTGGTGAGGACCCCAGCCACGTCCCAGGACCACAGCTCCCTGGACAGCACTTCTAAATGGGGCACAGCAGTGCTGAGGACCAGGTCGCCTCTCTCAGGATGTTGCTACCCTGGCTGTTCCTTCCACAGCAGCAGAGTTCTGGTGGAGATGCTGCAGCCCGGACCACGGTCCCTGTGAGCTTCCAGCCCTTGACTCAGGTAGACAGGAAGCATCTTACGTCCTTAGAGAAGCTTAAATTTCACTCTGAGCTCACCATCACACATAAGTGGAGAAGTTCAGTCACAGTTGGTGTTGCCACCCCTGCCCTGCCACTTCCTTGGGTTTCAGGCCACCGCATGCCCCTGCTGTCCCCGAGCACTCTGTTCTCCACCTCTCCGGGCTTGGACACCTCCCTCTCTCCCGCTGGCTCATGGGCTCTCCCCTCTGCTGTAGGTGCCAGCTCTTTTTTTTTTTTTTTTTTTTTTTTGTTTTTTTGTTTAACAATCTTTAATTCAAATGTAAAAGTTCAATACAAGCCATATGTAGGGCTTGGGATTTTTTCTTTTAAAAACAAGAATGGGCAAATGCAACAAAATGGGTCTTTCCACTGTTCAAAAACTTTCAAAGAAAGGATAGATCATAGTTCCATAAAGGATGCATTTAACCAAACCCACTTTCACCCCTACCAATCTTACACCCAATTCCACAATCTTAATACATATTCCTGAATGAAGAGTTACAGTTCAGCTTTGCTTACATACCATTTAAAAAATACTTAGCACCGGCTTGCTTCCTGTAATGCCAAACAAATCATGAACTACTTCAATATGTATTTTTTTTAACAAGGAGACAGTTTATCTATAGAAAGCAATACTTAGCCTCCAAATACATTTTTTCAGAAATGGCATATGCCATTTAAAGACCTAAACATGCTCATGCTATCAAAAGTGGAGTATCTAGCCTAATGTGCACTGAAGCATAAATAGCAAAGTTGAAGATCAGTATTATTAACTATTTCTTCTATTTATTTGAAGCACAGTAAAAAAAAATTGATACACTTTGGGAATTCAGTGGCACAAGGTACACTGCCATTTAACTTGAGGACATTATACAGTTAAAAAAAAAAAAGAAATAAAAAGGAAAACTTTTTCTCCTGTTTTGAACACTGCATTACATAATTTTACCTGCCCAAACAGACCATTTACAAATAATTAGGTCAGTAAACTTCTAACATCCATAAAAAGATAGCTTTCTTACTAAAATGCAAGAATTTAAAAGTGGTATCTAAACAAAAGACAAAAACACACTGGAATGAAAGCCTAGACATCACCTCTAAAATCGGGGTTTTCTGTTTGGGCCTTCATATTCTTCCCTCCCTCGGCCATATCCTGCTGCAGCTCCAGGCCCCATTCCTCTAGGACCCTGGCCACCCAGGCCCGCACCTCCCTGCCCAAAGCGCTCAGTACGCATGTCGCTTCCCATCATGGAACCACTCGTGGTTGCTGGTGGAACTCCGGGATTAGCTTCATAACCTATGCCACCGCCACCACCACCCAGAGGTGGAAATTTCTGGCCTCCTGAACCATAAGGATCTCCCACGCTCATTGCTCCTCCACCACCCATTCTCACGTCTCTTTCTCTTGGATCCATGTAGCCCATTCGACTGTAACTTTCCTCTCTTTGGCGTCTCATCTGTTCTTCCATCTCTCGTTGGCGAATCATCATCTCTTCCTCCCTTCTACGCCGTTCCTCTTCTTGCCTCAATTGCATTTCTTTGCGTTTCTGCATTTCTTGATTATGAAGTTCTTCCATACGTCTTAATTCTTCCTGGCGTCTCATCAGATCTTGGCGCAAAAGATTTGCCTGATGCTCATGATAGGCATCTTCCATTTCACTTTCCAACTTGTCTTTTGCATCCTTCATGTTTTTTTCAACTTGTTCCCTTTGCTGTTTCTCCATTTCATCCAAAGATTTCCATCGCTGAGAATATTCATACTCAAATGGGCCATGTTGAGCAAAACGAGGTGGTGTTCCCTCTCCTTTTGATACATTGGATTCTTCTGGGCAAGTTTTTCAGGAAGACCATCTCCATCATCCAATTGTTCAAGTGGTTCCACAATGACTGGCCCAGGCGTTGTTGTCAATAGGAAAACACCTTCACTGCATCTTTCAAATGCTTTTCTTGCCGCTGGTTTAGAAGCAAATTCAACTATGCCTTTCCCTGTAGATCTTCCTCGATCATCCACAATTACAACCGCCCTTTCTATAGGACCAAACTGGCTAAAGGCTTCTTCCAACAGTTCACTGGAAACATAAGGTGAAAGATTACGGACAGGGCAGCAGCATGTGTCGCAAAACGAACTCGCAGCTGTCTGCCCCTCATGGGCGTATCATCAAGTTCAGCTTCGGCAATTGCAGCCAAGGCTCTAGATTCAAGCTTAATAAATCTGAATCCTTTGCCTTTATTGATAAAAACCTCTCCCGGTTCTCCATATTTAGCAAACAGTCTTTTAAATTCATCCTCCGTGATATCTGCAGGCAGATTCCCAACAAACAACCGGCAACGCTGAGTGTAAGTTTTCTCTCCCGGCCTCCGCAGTAGAGATAAGTTGGCTTTAAATCCCTCCGAGCCGGAGATCTTCTCCTCGCTGCGGCCGCGGGCCCGCCGGGCGGGGTCCCTGGTGGTGCTGCTGGTGGTAGGGCGGGTGGCGCTGGCAGCGGGAGG